CGGAACCTAAGTCATCAGAAAACGAAACAACACCACAGAAAAAATCAATTACACTAGCAATCGTGACTGTAGGTAAAACATCAAGAAATCTGTATCACAACATAGGGTCGATCCATTTGGTACAATGCCATGCTGAAAAGACCAGATTACATGTGTTTGTTACGCAAGCCGTTCTAGTACCAACTGGTGTAAGCTGTTGTCTGGTTCATATAGACGGTAAACCTTAAAAGCTGGAACAGTTTATAGATATGGATACATCCAGATTGAGGAAAACAACATCCCAGTTAAATGCGTCCGATATGTTTGGCTTCTTGGCATTAAAACAGAGACCGATCTTGAATTAGATTAGCTGATTTGTATCAGATAGTTAGATTATTAAATGTTTCGTGTATTTATATTTAACCCCCTTTTTTAGGCACCACTTCGGGGAATTCAATTTTTCGGTCTGTGCGTCCGTTCGTTCGTTTGTCCGTCCGTCCGTCCCTTCGTTCGTCCGTCTGTCCCGTTTCAGGTTAAAGTTTTTGGTCAAGGAAATATTTGATGAATTGTAAGTCCAACCAACTTGAAACTTAGTACACATGATCCCTATGATATGATCTTTCTCGTTGAAATGCTAAATTACAGTTTATATCCCAATTTCATAGTTTTCTGAACATAGAAACTGATAGTACGAGCGGGGCATCCGTGTACTATGGACACATTCTTGTTTAATGTTTTGTTAGTTTTAAGTTAAACAAAGTTGTGAAATACATGTACGCTACAAATCACCTACCAACATTAACACGCTAACTGAAGCACCATGTTTTTTAAAACAAAACTAATTTTGAATATCTATTAGTTGATAATTCATATTTTAATGCTCCTCAGGGGCATTTAAAAACAAAATCAATATTGATTTTGATAACAAAAAACAAATAATTGTCTTGGCCTTGATTATTGTAGGATTACCTGTTCAAGGTATGAAAATAGATGATGTGACGTGTTTTCATATACTATAATTAGTATCTATCGGGCTATTTAAAAACATGATTTACCTAGCTAATCAAATGAAAAAAACTCACGGGAAAATGGCCCTACCTCTTTGTGTTTAATTATAGCCAAGTCTGTAAAGTTGTAAATATCAGTGAAAATACACCTCCGTCATGTAATTGTAGTAATTTCGAATACTCTTATGGCCCCATTTTTCATGTTATTACAGGAGACCTTAACATCGTTCGCGACCGAGAGTTAAAATCATTTCTCAGTAAAGGACCTAAATATCGTCCCCCGTTAATTATTAATTGGAATGAGTGTCGTAATATCATCCACGACTCACTTCGTGCTTACTGTTTGAAATGGATAAAACGGGAAAAAGCTGACAAAAAAACTTTAAACTCTTTTTTTAATTCAGTAATGAAGATAGTTGATATACGTACACAACATTTTAAAGAACATTTTACTCTTAACAACAACCATAAGAATCCTATTTCTTGTATCAAACATAAACTAAAAGAACTAGCCAAGGAATTTGTTTTTGTCCCGGCTGATAAAGCTGCTAATAATATCATTTTAGTTTGACGTAAATTTTACATTGAGGTTCTGCTAAAGGAAATCACGAATTCACCAACATTCCAACTGACTTCATTTTCAGAAAACGATATCTGTAACAAACATAAACTATTAGCTACTTCTTTACAAGCAGAACCAAATACAATGAAAGTCCCAACTATGTACTGGCTTCCGAAGCTACACAAATCACCTTACAAATATAGATTTATTTCGTCTTCAAGTCATTATTCCACTACTAAATTGTCTATTCTACTTACTAGTACACTTGGTACAATCAAAAACCTGATAATAAATTCTTCAAATAAGGCCTTTGAAAATAGTGGAATTGACTACTTTTGGAGTGTCAAAAACTCGTTCGAAGTACTTGATAAATTGCATGCATATATTGGTGATTTTGAATCTGTTCAAAGTTTTGATTTTTCTACCCTATATACCACTTTGCCTCATATTCTTATTCAGGAAAAATTCACACATCTAATTAAATGGGCATTTAAAAAGTCGGAATGCGAATACATATGTTCAAACTCTTTTAGGTCAGTTTTTAGTAGCAACAAACAAAAAAGCTATGTCAATTGGACATGCTTTGATACTATATCTGCCCTTGAATTTTTACTTGATAACATTTTTGTTCGCTTTGGAGATTCCGTATATCGTCAAGTTATCGGAATTCCAATGGGGACTAACTGTGCACCACTTATTGCGGACCTGTTTTTGTATTGTTATGAGTTACAATTTATGACTAAAATCAGCAAAGACCCATCGAAACAACATCTGATACAAAAATTTAACAATACTTTTAGATATTTGGATGATATACTGGCTCTCAATAATGACGACTTCAGTGTGTATACTAAAGAAATTTATCCTGTTGAACTTACTTTCAATAAAGCTAATACTAACAATGACCACTGTCCTTCTCGATCTTGATATCTATATCATAAACGGGAAACTTAATACAAAAACTTATGATAAAAGAGATGATCTTTCATTTCCTATCGTTAATTATCCATTTTTAGATGGTGACGTTCCCTTGTCACCATCTTATGGTGTTTATATATCTCAACTTGTACGATTCGCTCGTGTATGTAACAACGTATTACATTTTAGCGAGAGAAATTTATGTATTATTGAAAAATTATTACACCAGGGTTTTCGATATCATAAACTAGTCAAAACAGTTACTAAATTTTATCATCGGTATAGGGACATATTCGTAAATATAACTCAACATGCAGACATCTTATACGTTCGGGTATTTCACATCCAATCTTTTATGGTAATATTCTTTACAAAGCACAAAAATGTCAGTATTCACCTCAAAAGCTAACAAAACCTTTAAACAGACTTATTTAGAAGGGATATAGTTACGATACTGTTGTCAGGTCATTAAAGATTGCATATTTTGGCTGTAATATTGATTCACTTATAGGGTCTTTGCATCGGAATTGAACATATTTATTCTAAAACCAGTTGTTGGCATGACACGGGTTATGTTCTTCTCATATATTTTATGATGGTATAATACTAAACCCCTAACAGGAGGGATTGTGCCTGATATTCATATGATGAAGACATAATCTTTCAATCAGTTTAATTGAGGTCTGGAGCTGGCATGTCAGTAACTGCTAGTAGTCTGTTGTTATTTATGTATTATTGTCATTTTGTTTATTTTCTTTTGTTTCCTATTCTGACATCGGACTCGGACTTCTCTTAAACTGAGTTTTACTGTGCATACTGTTGTACGTTTGTTTGTTTTTCTACATTGGCTAGAGGTAAAGGGGAGGGTTGAGATCTCAAAAAACATGTATAATCCCGCCGCATTTTTGCGCCTGTTCCAAGTCAGGAGCCTCTGGCATTTGTTAGTCTTGTATCATTTTTAATTTTAGTTTCTTGTGTATAATTTAGAGTTTAGTATGACGTCCATTATCACTGAACTAGTTTAGGGGCCAGCTGAAGGACGCCTCCGGGTGCGGGAGTTTCTCGCAGCATTGAAGACCCATTGGTGGCCTCCGGCTGTTGTCTGCTCTATGGTCGGGTTGTTGTTTCTTTGACACATTCCCCGTTTCCATTTTCAATTTTATCTTTCATTTGAATTGTCAACAACGGCAGGTAAATTGTACTGGTGAAAACATTGAACAGACGAGTTCATCAGAAATGTTCTTGATAAATCGTTTATTCCTACAGAACAACGTAAACAGTTTCAAAAGTATGATATATGCAACACGCTGCTCGATCGAACACGAACCACACCATAAAACACCGCACAGAAAACTAAAGATTGAACAACCGAACCCAACCATAAAATACCACAAAAAACTAGGATTGAGCAACACAACTGTCTTCAACTTCCAGATATTCTTTAATATTCAACAACCAATTCAATACAAGTTCTTGAAATCAAATTTTGGACTAGTGTTGTATCTACATTCATAGTTGAACCACGCGACTCTACAAATATGCAAATATGAATAATGTTTAGAATGAGAAATTTACTCAAAACAATGATATAATTAGGCAAATTGCTAACAACTGAATGTTCAATCAAATATTCCTTACGAATCTGCTTATCTATCCGGAGCGTCTGAGATCACCCCTGGTTTTAGTTGGCATTAGTGTTGTTCAGTGCTTAGTTTCCTATGTTGTGTTCGTTTTTTGCTAAGGCGTTGTCAGTTTGTTTTCGACTTAATATGAATATGAATGTCCCTTTGGCATCTTCTGTGTCTCTTTTTTACGCTTAATGTATGAAATTTTCTAAGGATTTGATAGACATATCGAAATCATTTTTTATTTCCTCTTATGAATATATATATATGACGATGGATAAGATGATTAAAAGTACTAGTCAGTTTATGATCATTATCAACTTATTAGTAAAATTTTGGTTTGATCATCGAGTTAAGTCGTATAACAAAGAAACGACATTATATTATATGTTTGTGACTACATAAAAAAATATAACATTCAATTTGATAATATAATCATGGGTATGAATGCGGATCTTCGTACGTGTATTGTATCTGTTAAAGGAGGAGGTATGGTAATTGCAAACGTTTTATTTTGTCAATGTTTATGAACTTCTTCTTTTTGAATTTACCTTGGAGTGTTTGGTTATTTTGTGAATATTTCTTTTTTATATACTTCACAACAATAGCAATATCAGCACAGTGGTATTATTAGATGAACAAATTCACAATAAAAAACCAGTTATAGCAATATCTATTTTTAGAAAATGAAAGTAACACTTTATAGATTCAGGAGTTCAAAGCGATTTTCTGAATTACTTCTATCATGAGCGGTCAAGGCCAAACATTTGAATGTCAAGGATGTATAAGTATACACAAACCCGTGAGGTGCTGTATAACCAAAACAAATGTAATGATAAATTCATATAAGGTCAACTTAGACTAAGAAAGTCTTAATAATTGAAAGGATTGGTTGTGTAGCGATATCATTCACGTATACCCTACATCTATATTCATTAGCATCATTACATACCCGCCATCAAATGTCTTAAATCCGGTAATTACTTTGCCTTTGTCTACTCTGTAGATTCGTCCAACTGCAACATCTTTATTGAAATGGCTTCTGCAATCTTTGTGGCTGTATTTCATACCTGAAAAGGTTATTGGTTTCAGTGCATATAATATGTGTTTTTAGTGCATATAATATGTGTATCTGGGATCATTATTATTAGATACGCTATAGACAATATTAAACATATTAATTATGCCCGTACCAATCCTTGTGCACATTGCACATTTTTTGCATCACGCTATAAGATTTTTACAAGTTTTTAACTTCTCACAAGGATAATGATAAATTAAAAGATTAGTGTGTATCTCTCAATAGAAATATATATAAAATTGGTATAAATCGATAGTTTATATGTATTCTTTATTTGTTTTTAAGTTTAAACCCTTTTATTTTATTTATTTGAATAATATTAAACACCATGTCTAGGTTAGTCTATGGAAAGGTATATACTATGAAATTTCATAGTATATACCTTTTTATAGACTATCCAATTTAGCACATATTTACAACTCGAGTAATCTTTTAATTGCACTATTGATAGTTTATTTTGGGTGACTACTTGTATCACAGATGTTTGTAAAACAGAGCTCATTAACGAATTTTATGTTTTGTTAATCTACTCACTAGTATCATTGTAAAATATGTGATTTCAAAAGGCTCTAGATTGAAAAGATGATAGCTGCTGGTGTAAGTATGTATATTGATATAAAGCGGTGTTTTACTATACATGTACTTCTTAACATGGTAAGATGACAAAATGAATTGACCAAAAGCAGACAATAATTAAATTGCAGCGGAAGCTTTACATGTTTTGAAAATACTTTTCAATTTCACAGTAAAACTAAAGCTATAATAAATTGAAATTATTTGAAAGATATAGATAGTTTGTCCCCATAGATAGTCTAGCGGATAGCATTAAAAGCAACTACCAATAGATCTGAGATTATAGGTTTTGTGTTTTTTTGTTGTTTTTTTTTTCAAAGTAAAAACTAAAAGATTTATCAGAATATGTATATATCTATATATGTATATAGGTGGCACATTCTCTTCAGACATTATCATGGTTTTTCAATTCAAGACATGCATGAAATATTTGCCACTGGACATTAAGCAACCAATTATCAATCAATTCATGACGAAATAGCTCAATTTCCCCAAGAAAGTTAATAAAATCACCAAGTTGCCTTAATTTCCCTTCACAATAAATCATAGTACACACTTTTTTTGTGTGTGCAAAGTAATTGCATGGACGATAAATTATTACAATTTTAAGATAGCGCTGTACTCTAATCAAGGTATAAAGAACCATATTTGTTACTCTTTATTTAAAGGAAAAAAAACTTGCAATTGTCAAAAACATTTTTTAGATCCAAAGATTTTAATAGCAGAATATTTAAAAATCAATGTGAAAACTAATTACAAACTATTTAATTTAATTTGGATCACAGCATTTTATTTCAAAATAGCCAGAGGCAATTTTTGTTTTCATATCTTGATTACGATACAATGAAATCTTACCCTTGTGGTCATTCATGCGTAGTTACTTAGTACACGGAAAAGTATGTACTATGAAAATTAGAAGGCAAATTCAAGCAATATGATTGGACGAGAAGTTGTAAGTATGTGCTAACAATCAACACTTATCATTGTATTGAATTGCATGTAATCATTGTGCGCTGCGGGCGCCTTTAATTGACATATTGCATTATATTGTATTGTATTGTAATTGAATCAAAATAACAAAATAATGGAAAAAGCATGCCCAAGCTCACTCAGAGAGAGAGAGAGAGGACAATGAGAAATAAGTTCGACAAAATGGAACATGATATCCTTTCTACGATGGTTTGTCATTAGCGATCACCAATCTTTTTCGAGTTTCCTTTATTAACGGCGTTGAGAACCGAGACATAACACGGATGTTGAAGGCAAGTCAGGACATGTATAGTTTTTAGAAGCTTTTAATACCCTCGAGAAATTTATTGTCCAAAAAATGTTCGTTTTAAGTACTTTTTGGAATATAAGATTAATCACCTGGTTCCATACAGCATCGCACTTTGATCTTAAAACCAACCAGGTCCCAACCTGAGACATAGCCGTACCCAGGACATTGAAAAGGCTTTTTTATGGATGTATCTGGAAAAAAGTATTCACAAGATATCGTGACATAAAACATATGGTAAACTCTGATGACGGCATATGAAGTAACAAGCTATCAAAATATAAAATGCATAGCATTTTAGCTTAAATAATTGATTTGTTAAGGAGCTTTTATCTTTTAATTACATGAACAAACATTATTTTTGGTTTCGAAAAGCAATTGTAACAGCAAATATAATTTCCATTATAACACTTGAATTTGAAATTTTAATTAACCATGACCAGCATGAATGGTTCAATATATGGAGCAGAATCTGCGCACACCTGGGATCTCCCAAAATATTTGATGGGGTTCATGTTGCTCAGTCTAGTTTTTATGTAAATTGCTGTAGCCTTGTTTGACTTTTCATCGTTTATTACGTCTTTATACTATATCTGGTGGATGTGTACTGATTGCTACTTAAGTCTGGGAGAATATGATTTGTTTATTAGTTTTAATTGGCTTTAAAATAGCTTTCAGTAACTGCGTGTACTCTTATTATCAGTGATTTTTATCTATTGGATTTATGATCTATTGAGGTAAGCTTTTTGCAACTGATATTTGCAGTGTGTTCTTATGTGCTGTTACACCACTGTTGAAGGGTTAGATAGGGGGGGATATGACCATATTCTGTATGTGCCTATTCCAAGTCAGGAGCCTGTAACTCAGTGGAGGTCGTTGGTTCTTGTCCGTTATATTTGTTTTTTTGTAATTTGTATTATTATAAATTAGGCTGTTAGTTTTTTTTATTGGATTATGTACATTTTTCATGTCGGGGACTTTTTTGGCTGACTATACGGTGGGATATTTCTCATTGTTTAAGTTCGTACGGTGACTTGACTTATAATTGCTTATATTTTCGTCATTAGAACTCTGGTGGATATTTGCCACATCGGCAAATATACCCCTTTCCTTATATTTTTCAATAGTTACTTTGAACGTGATTCTTTTATCTAAGTGATGTTTAAAAAAGAGATTTAATGTAATAGTGAATCTAAAATAGTTGCAAAACATATGCTTTTCAATATTCAATACTGTTGTTCAGCAGTTTTCTCCTGAAAATGGTTTAAGTCAAGTTGAATGTGATAAAAATGATATCCCTCCTTTTATAAATATGATTCTATAAGAGTTTTATTCCATTGTGGGCCTGAGTGAATCTATGTTTTTTTAAGTAAACGCTTTAAGCTACTTTAGTTTGTTTTCAGTTTGCCCAAATAGGCAATCACATTCCAAAATGTGTAATGACATTTTCATTATATATCAATATTAGCAGTAAAAGAGACAAAACATTTCTTTACTTTACAAAATAGACCAAAACATTGCAATCATTATGATTATAGAAACAGAATACTTACAACAGTCTTTACAATGAACGAACTTGCCAGGTCCTGGTTTACATGTGAAATGAATCTCATCAGGCGAAAGTGTATCGTGAGCATTTCCATCTCCACACATCATCAATTTCTTATATGGCCTCGAAAAAACTTTAGTTGTTTTTGCAACAACTGGCATTAGTATCCAAAAGATGAGAAGGCTTATTCCTGCAAATATGAATAAAAAAATGAAGCATAATTAGAACTTGTGTGTAGGGTAATGTATCAAACTTATTTCTATCTTTAATATTACTTTATAAATAGTTGTTTGTAAATTTAAAACAATGTACAAAGCAAGGACCGCTATATTATATATTGGTTTTTCTGTTATATGTAAAGTTCGTTTCCTGACATTGAGTTTAAAACAAAATACGCTATTCGTTCTCCAGGAATGTAGTCTTGCAAATTTGTACTGAATCATTTATCTTTACCCATATTTTGAAGTCTTATGGTTACTAAATATATTCCCGCCTTATTAAAATAATAAGTGATCGTGCTCTGTTTTCTTTTATATTCACCAAAAGTTGAAAAAACGCAGCCAATCATGCGATCATAGAAGATCTCCAGTTGTTTAAAATTAGACTTTCATAAGAACTTAATATTCTTACAAAAAGCCTGACCAGTGCAAACAAGAATACGATTGGCTTATTTACTCAATAACTTGGAATAACCGAATTAAGTGCTCCGACAAAGATTGAATCTACGGTATGGATTTTAGAATGTATTCAATTGAGTATTAATTTAAAAAGTGTATGGAATATATAAAAAGATAAAATCGTTCATGTTTTCTTTATTGATTTTCGTTTTTTTCTTAAAAATCAACTTGACAAAACCGTAAAACATTGTAAACTAGACAAAATAAATGTACATTTTACACGTAAAATGCGGAGAAAGGAGTATTACGAGGAACCTTATTTAACACTCAACAGTATGAAAACAAGTTAAAAATTATACCATTCTCAAAATTAAGAGCATCGACCAAACAATTTTACTGGTACACAGAATTAAATAAAACCAACTGGTAAACATAATTAACCTTGGGCAACATTGAAAGGGGTATATACGAATAAGAACAAAAACGAACAAAATATTTCCCGACAATGTTAATAATTTTAATTTTCGAATATGATTTTTTAACCTCAATACCACGGGGAAACTTGTTTAATTTTAACCACATGACCGAATCTGTTTTCTTTACTTTACAATTTTTTCATATATCCTGACGCGTATTTGTGAATCAAAATAAAAGCGATTAAGACAGATTTCTAAGTTCCCTTAGGTATCTTTTGTCTCATTAAAAAAAAAGATATCTGTTTATAATCAATCCTGCGCATGCACTGGTACTATCTGGTACCATTTTTGTTTTAACTCAGATCACGACTGGTAGATATAGTGATTCAATTTGAAAAGCAAAAGTACATTATCAATATCAAATTCTTGTTGATAAATATGCGTCACGTGTGTAATTGTTATCTAAGATGAATAAAAAAAAACCTCAATGTATTTCAAATTCTAATTGTGCGTGGGATGATTATACAGAGAGAAGATAAAGCCCGCATTTGACAACACTATGAAGTGTTTCAAAATGGATTTATAATATTTTTTTCTTTTTAAAAAACTGGCAAGAAATTGCGTATATACGAGGTGGAGAACAGGTGTAGGGAGAAAAAAAGAAACGGATGATAGTAAGTAGAGAGGGATAGGAGAAAAGAGAGGCAAAGTAGGAGGAATGAGGAAATGGTTGGGAGAAAGGAGAACATTAGGAAACAGATAAAAATCGATTTTTCAAAACATGAAGACAGTTGAGATGCTTCGAGAAATGTTTTTGTCATAACAAATATCTAGTATAAACCCAAATTACTTGAAAAAAGAAAGATATTCCAACTTTAGTTCAAACTGTAGTGAATGCAGAATTATGTAGTGTGTTGAGATTACGAACGGAAACGCCAGTATTTTTTTTATTGTGATAGGGATGTCCTCATGGGTGTTAATGAGTGTGTAAGAGGGTTTCGATGTGTAATTTGCATTTTTTACATCAATGAAAACGTATGAATATCAAATACCATAGGGGTACTTGTTCAATGAACGATCTTCGATTATGAAACATGACTAATCATCTAATATTATAAGAGGGGACATGAAAACTATGTACGAGTACAGAGAGGAATTTGGCAAAGGTGTAAGACAACGAAGTACAAAACATGACACTACCATTCGACTTGTGTATCAAAAAAAATATTCCACCCAAATGTTCATCGGTTGATTTCATTATTACTGACAAACACAATGATGGCAAAATGTAGAAGTGCGAGCAGAAAATTTGTAACCTTCTGATAATTAGTTATAGCAACTGGAGATTGTATTCATGACAGCAAAGATGTGTTGGCAGTTACTATTGGTGATCATTTGTGTCTAGGTAAAGTAATAGTCCTAAAAATCTTGCAAAATACTGCTATATAAAGACAAATAACCTAATTTCATTTCTAAAACGAAAGAGCATAGCAGGGCAATTTTGTTTTGAACGATTTTATTAAAATCAAAGCATCGTCGGTGCTATAATCCAGCCAATGCTTTTGCCAGTCAGACATTATTCTTATCTCATTTAAAATATACAACTGCTTTAAGACATTTCATTGACAGACATCAAACTTATTTATTTTATTTAGGGGCCAGCTGAGGACCACCTCCGGGTGCGGGATTTTCTCGCTGCGTTGAAGACCCATTGGTGGCCTTCGGCTGTTGTCTGCTCTTTGGTCGGGTTGTTGTCGCTTTGACATATTCCCCATTTCCATTCTCAATTCTATTAAGACATAAGTCTAAACAAATAGACAACACGAGGATTGAAATGTAGAACTAATATAACGTCATTTTCATTGTTATTTCACTAAAGATGATGGAAAGCCCAGAAGAGTTGTATGTATAATTTCAAATCATATTCTCATGTATCGTGATGAACAATAAAACCTGATATATGAATATATCACTATTTCATAAGGTTCAGAAAGAAGGTTCCTTTTTTCTCAGTTGGTAAAGAAAGCTAGACTCCCTAAATTTACTTGGAAATTGTTACTACAAGTATACGTATGGAAGTGTTTTTATGTTCAAACAAACTTAACGTTTACTTTTTTTTTCTTTCTAACTGATATAAGGGTCATTCCTTGATGATCGATAAAAAATATATAATATAATACACTTAAGATGAATGGTTCATATGATTGTTTTCATATATTTGCATAATCTCGAGCTCAGTGCTGTAAAATTTGAATCCTATTGCAAAGAGATGGACAGTTACTCAAATTCTCTTGATATTTCAATTTTGGAAGGTGCACTGATTTTTTACGTCTTATTTTTTAATAAATAGTTTAATCAAATGATTTTGACATGAATTGACAAAGAAATTTTCAAAGAAAGGTGAAGTATATTTTTTTATTGAAATTTGACATTATAATTTCAAGAAAGAGGCATTGAAAATGCAATTTTGCAACAACAAAAGAATATTAGATAACATATTTTCAGAGTTTAAACAATCAACTAGCCCGGCGCCTTGGACTAGAACACTTACGCCTCGGCCATCAAAACATAACTCAATATGCCAGACGGTCAAGTTAAAAAAATTTCTTGTTGTTACCATAAATAGAAAGTGGAAAACCAAATCCTCACTTTTTTCATCTTAGCCAATCATATTCAATTACTTCATACAGGAATCCAGGAATTTGAACTGATAATGTACATGTTAACAGCCAGATGGAGCGGTTTTATGTATTGATCGCAATTCCCGTACTTTCAATATCGATTTCTCAGTAATGGGCCCGGGGGGTGGGGTGGGGGGATTATATATTGTACATTATTCATACCGAGAATTTCAATTAACGGTAATTGGGGTATGATGCATTTATCGATATGACCTGTCATGGCGAACAGCACGAAACTATGCAACAAAGTATAATAATTGCTAAATATTTTAGAATGGGCACCCAAGGAACAGTGTTAGTTTTGAAACGATGAACTGTAGATGCAGGAGGAAATGAGCCTGATACGTCATCAAAAAGTAAAAATGCTAACCGGAAGAGAATATTTATTTTATCGTGGACAGAAAGATTCCGATGGGCAACGTTGAGTGTTACTGATGATAAACCAGATACGATGTTTTGTGAATATTGCCGTTATTTTCCCGTTCACGCTAATAAAAAGTCTGCTTTGTATATGGGAACGACGAACATACATGTACGAAATGAACAACTAGTTTCATATGACAAGACTAATGAACATATTTTCTGTGCCCGAAGATATTTGACAACCGACAGTAGAACAGATAACCGCGGGAAAAAATAGTCATGCGTAGCAACAGATGAAAATAAGTGATCAATCCAAAGAAAAAAAACATCCTCTTTCCTTGTTACAATGAAACGTATTTATTCATTTGATTTATTTTATTAAATGTCATGGCCTTCAAAACAAGCCACTTTACATTATGCAGAAAACTCTGATCTTGTAAAGCACACTCGGGTTAGCAGGTCTGTTTTGCTGGGCTAGCTTGATGATGATTTTGTTCAACTTTTTTAATGAACTTTATCCATTTTATCATGAATTGAAAAACCGTGATAATGTCTGAAGAAAATATGCAACCGATATCTATATTCTGATAAAGCTTTTAGTTTTTACTTTGAAATAAAAACAAAATATAATCTTTGATTTAGTTTATATAACTGTGAAATTGAAAAATGTTTTCAAAGCATGTAAAGCTCCCACTGCTATTTAATTTTTATAATATATGCCTATTTTTTGGTAAATTTATTTTGTCATCTTGCCAGGTAAAGAAGTACATGTAGTAAGACACTGCTTTATATCAATATACTAGTACATACTTACACCAGCAGCTACCATTTTTTCATTCTGGAGTCAATGGCCTTTTAAAATGACACATTTTAATGTGAGATTGACTTATAAACCGCTATTTTTCCAATTCGTGTTTGCTGCATTTATAAACTCAAGATCTGGTAAATTACTGTCACAAATTGTCATACCAATTAAAAGATTACTTAAGTTGTTAATGTGTGTTTATTTGGATATTCTACGAAAAGGCATATATCATGAAATAAAGTGCTGGGGACAATCCCCCCGCCTCAAATTTCATAGCATATACCTTTCATAGACTAACCTTTAC